TCGTCCACACTCACGCCTACGAACATGCCTACGAACATGCCTACGCAGTGGTTTTGTGGGTAGGGCATATGGGAATGGAAGCAAGGACCAAATGTATTAAAAGTTGTTGTCATCCCTAACCCAGCGATGCTGTCGTCATTCTAAATGTATTCAATGGTGTTGCAGTGAATCTTGAATGTAGTCAGTGTGGTTGACGTCATCACAAATGTGGATGTGTGCTGGAACGAGGACCACAACCTACAAGCTTCCAAACCATTTATCAGTATTCAACCGACGATGACTCCCTAATTAAACTTTATACCTTTTCTCTATTACCGATTGCCACTTTTGGTCAGACACCCTGTTTATATGTGTTGCCAAGGTACATCTTTCTGGAACATCTCAGTACCCTCTCAAGACCCGTGAAGGTCCGAGTAAGAACTGTTCTTCAGCAACTCATGCTTCCAGATGTTTCTAGAGGCGACTAAAGGCGACTAATTGAATGGGGCGGTCAGGCTCGGTGACTTGGTTGGTGCATGTCATCGTATCCCATTTGGGTAGATCGATGTTCTTGATGTCAGTCATTACCTTGTCTGTTATTACAAACTGCCGTCATACAGCTGGAATATTGTTGAATGCAACCAAACCCAACCAAACCCAACCAAAGAAACCCTCTCAAAAATATAGTCCTCGTCATCAAGTTTTCGAGAAATCATATCATCATGATAAAACCAGGTGCTATCGTAAAATAAACCAAACCTTGTTTTTCACTGACCTTTGTGGTTTATCGGGGAAATATCTGACAGAAGAAATAGTGTAACAAATACAGCAAAGAGTGTCTGGGTGACTGGCGAGGCGCATCACAAGCTCGGGGCTCTTGCACGCAGCACAGGCAGTATGTGGGACAAATGGAATGTGTTTCCTTGTCGAACCCATCAAGAACGATTTGTAGAATATCACACACACACACACACACACACACACACACACACACACACACACACACACACACACACACACACACACACACACACACACACACACACACACACACACACACACACACACACACACACACACACACACACACACACACACTGTAGTCTTCTGCTTGACCCTTGATGGTGGTGTTGACTTGTGATTAAAGCTGAAGACGCGTGTTGATTCCAAAATGGGTTAAATGAGTGAAGACCATTTCAGGTGTCCCCGTCGTGATATTGGGTGAATATTGCTGAAAGCATAACCCATAATGTCATTGTCAGAGGGGTTGTGTTCCTGACAGTACACCCGGGTACTCTCTAATGTCATTGTCAGAAGGGTTATGTTCCTGACAGTACACCCGGGTACTCTCCTAATGTCATTGTCAGAGGGGTTGTGTTTCTGACATTACACCCGGGTACTCTCCTAATGTCATTGTCAGAAGGGTTATGTTCCTGACAGTCCACCCGGGTACTCTCCTAATGTCATTGTCAGAAGGGTTGTGTTCCTGACAGTCCACCCGGGTACTCTCCTAATGTCATTGTCAGAAGGGCTGTGTTCCTGACAAGACATCAGGTACTCTCCTAATGTCATTGTCAGAAGGGGTATGTTTCTGACAGTACACCCGGGTACTCTCCTAATGTCATTGTCAGAAGGGGTGTGTTCCTGACATTTATACCCGGGTACTCTCCTGATGTCATTGTCAGAAGGGGTATGTTCCTGACATTTATATGTTTCTGACCACCCGGGTACTCTCCTGATGTCATGTCAGAAGGGCTGTGTTCTGACATCGGGTACCTTTCTAATGTCCAGAAGGGTACTCTACTCTCCTATGTCAGAAGGGGTGTGTTCCTGACATTTATACCCGGGTACTCTCCTGATGTCATTGTCAGAAGGGGTGTGTTCCTGACATTTATACCCGGGTACTCTCCTGATGTCATTGTCAGAAGGGGTATGTTCCTGACATTTACTCTCCTAATACCATTGTCAGAAGGGTTGTGTACCCGGGTACTCTCCTGATGTCATTGTCAGAAGGGGTGTGTTCCTGACATTTATACCCGGGTACTCTCCTGATGTCATTGTCAGAAGGGGTGTGTTCCTGACATTTATACCCGGGTACTCTCCTGATGTCATTGTCAGACAGGGGTGTTCCTGACATTGTCAGAAGGGTTATGTTCCTGACTCGGGTACTGATGTCATTGTCAGAAGGGGTGTGTTCCTGACATTTATACCCGGGTACTCTCCTGATGTCATTGTCAGAAGGGGTGTGTTCCTGACATCACACCCGGAAGTCTCCCAAGGTCAATGAAAGGCAGGGAGAACAAAGGGGAGTCTAGCAACGTGGTACGCGGGATGCAAGCGTGACAGTTTTGTGATCGAGGTCCGCATATCTCCGATGTTGTTCCTGAGACTTGTCAATCGGTGTCAAAAGGGACATTGACATTGAAATTTGTCGAAAGAGACAGGATTATGTTTGTTGACATGTAAACTTCTGAGGATGCACAATCATCTTTTTTCCATGGTCGACATATACATGATCGTATCGAGAATGAACCTTGGAGACAAAACTACGAGCAAGCCAGGGGGGTGACAATATGGTATAGCCAGAACATCGTGTCATTATAGATAATGTGTATTTGGAAAAGTTGGGCATCCACTGAAAATGTGTTGTTGTTGTCGGCGTTGTTGTGACTGTTGTCGTCACTGGTGTTGTTATTGGTGTGAAACTTCACGTATTTCAGACGCCTGTGGATTACGGAAAACATAATTTGAACAACCAAAGGCGACATATCTACAATAACTCAAAAATTCGACCTGCGGTTGAATTCGCAAAGTTTGTTTTGTACTTTGTAATGTTGATCTTTCATGAAGTATCGATATTGGGTGACAGAATTCATGTGTTGACGACCACTTTAATCGATGAATCGCGTTGCAGTAAAGTGGTTGATACACTGTGTTGTAAATTACAGTAATTGTGTTTTGCAGTCGATCCTGGTATGTACGAGTATGCGGAACAGTGTCGGTCACGCATGGAGCTGGTTACGTCAAGCATGTTTTGCTGTGTCTACCCTCTCGTAACTAATAAACCTGCGCGTCAATGTCCCGACAACAATCCCAGGCTAAGTATTAAGCTTCTATAATGTATTTTGCTGTAACAAGCTTGTCTTTGTGACGGCAGCCCCACCTCCTCCACCTGATGACCTCACGGAGACGACGGCTCGCCAGCACCAGCAGCACGGTGTAGGGGCAATTAATGACCTGTCTGAAAACTGCCCCGGGCACTCCTTGTCGTCATCAATCGTAAGCTGCTTACATCTGTCCATCAGTAGACCCATACAGACTACTTCACACAACATGAACTTTATAATACCAACAAATAATCTAATTATACTCGAAACCTGTTTGGAGGGATCTGGGTCAATATTCTTTCAATTACAATCTTTTACACAGTGTCCTTCCATTGGTCTCATTCGTTAAACATTTTAATAGTAGATATATAAATGTCTATCCCTATAAGCCCGTCGTGGACAGTGGACTTAAATGTGTATCAGCTTATAAGTCCGGGGTAGACAATGGACATAAATGTCTGTCCCTATGTCCAGCGTTATAAGTCCGGAGTGGACATTGTACATAATTGTCTGTCCCTATAAGTCCGGAGTGGACAGTGTACGTAATTGTCTGCCCCTATAAGCCCGGTGTAGGCAGTAGAATCATTGTCTGTACCTCTAACTGTGGTGTGGATGGAGGGCATAAATGTCTATAGCATTAAATCCGGTCTAGACAGTGGACATGAATGTCTATCCCTATAATCCTATAATCCCGGTATGGACAGACTCTACTTGTGTTCACATTGTCTCCAAGAGCAAACAGCTAATTTGTTCCATCGAGATGACAGCATATTGATATGAGCGACTTAAGGCCCGGTAGTGAACCAGGTTGATATGAGCGACTTAAGGCCCGGTAGTGAACCAGGTTGATATGAGCGACTTAAGGCCCGGTAGTGAACCAGGTTGATATGAGCGACTTAAGGCCCGGTAGTGAACCAGGTTGATATGAGCGACTTAAGGACCGGTAGTGAACCAGGTTGATATGAGCGACTTAAGGACCGGTAGTGAACCAGGTTGTGGGAGCACTGACAAAAATAACACCTATTTAGTTCAGTTTATTTCATTGCAAAAAGCAAATGGATTGATGACACACTAACGAGGCCTTCTCCTAATCACTGTACAGTAGCTTTGCTATACACACATTTACATTCTCACTTTAACATCCGTAGATATTTTAACACATCTTATCTTTAAATTTGGAACTTGTAGTACAAATATAACTATATACGAGTCCAGCTGGGAACCGTTGTCTCCTCTACATCTGCTGAATATACACACACCAGCTGCTACAGACCCAGGGTTGGCCGGAGGATCAGTGGACAGTCTTGTTGACCAGGGGCAGTTGTGACTGGCTGGCTGACCAGTGACCAGCTGCGATTAGCTCAGATTAGTGCACTACGATTTGCTTCAGATCGGTGAACAACTGTCAGTCTCGGATATATCGATGTGCAGCTGTAAGTGACTATCTGTTGATGCCTGTGATTGGGCAGTTTGTGTAACCCAGGCAACGGTGCCACTTGGCGTCGAGCACCACGGTTGTCACAATCTGGACACAGACAACGCTAGGGTCGAGACATGTCATGCAGAGCTATGTGGGGCTACAGTTCTAGATCGGATTGACCATCCGGACCATCCGCTAGAGAATAGTCAGTTTCGATATTCTGCTGAGACTCCATTGGTTCTATATGAAAGACCCCAATCTACAAACAGGACTATCAAACTTCACTAGACAAGCGGCAACCGCCCCGAAAACACCGGATGTGACGTCACATACAATATCTTAACCAGCAGATAATGATGCGAAATCCATGTATTCATTACAGTGATACACCGTCTTCATACTACACCATGGTCCCCTGATGCCAGCATGCCTCAACAACACCAGGGACATCTACAACGACGCGTCTACACCACGGAGATACGTGGACACACCAACACCAGGGACATCTACCACGACACGTCTACATCACAGAGACACGTCAGCACACCGGGCGCGTACACATACAGACATGTTTGAACCGGACTATCCATGGCAGGTGCAAGGCAACACTACTTAGACGAAACACACAAGTACTGTACATTCTTACTGTACCTACACGTACAGTGACGTACACGTGGTTCTATATACACAGTAACATGGTAGCTCTAGATCGGCTAGTATATACACTGGCATCCTCCGTGCTTGTCTATCAACCCTGACAATAAGTCGGCAGAGTTATTCCCCTTCCTTCAGCGGTCTGTCGCCTGGTGCGCTAGGTCAGATAGTCGGGGTCACACTGGTAGATGTCCAGCTGCAAGTACATGGAAGACGAACACTGATCAAAACACATTCAGTAAGTATACTACAAAGAGTGAGTGAGTGAGTGAGTGAGTATGGTTTTACGCCGCTTTTAGCAATATTCCAGCAATATCACGGCGGGGGACACCGGAAATGGGCTTCACACATTGTACCAATGTGGGGAATCTAACCCGGGTCATCGGCGTGACGAGCGAACGCTTTAACCACTAGGCTACCCCACCGCCCCTATACTACAAGGGTTTCAGGTTGCCATAGTGAATGAAACGGTGTCTTTAAAGCAAAATGTTAGGCATATATGATCTTGTATTTCCGATGTAGGAAATTAAAGCAGAAAGTTCCACGCCCATAGCTACAATAACTGCAAGATTAGATCAAACTTTCCATTGCACGAACTAAACGCTATGGTCTTCTAGGTCTACCTACACTACATGCATACCATCTCGGTCTGCCTACATACAATACCATGATCATTTAGTTTTGCCTACACACATACCACGGTCCTCTAGGTTTGCCTACATACATACCATGGTCCTTTAGGTTTGCCTACACACATACCACGGTCGTCTAGGTTTGCCTACACACATACCACGGTCGTCTAGGTTTCCCTACACATATACTATTGTCATCTAGGTTTGCCTACACACAGACCATGGTCCTCTAGGTTTGCCTATACACGGACCATGGTCATCTAGGTTTGCCTACACACAGACCATGGTCATCTAGGTTTGCCTACACACAGACCATGGTCATCTAGGTTTCCCTATACACAGACAATTGTCATCTAGGTTTGCCTATACACAGACAATTGTCATCTAGGTTTGCCTATACACAGACAATTGTCGTCTAGGTTTGCCTATACACAGACAATTGTCATCTAGGTTTGCCTATACACAGACAATTGTCATCTAGGTTTGCCTATACACAGACAATTGTCATCTAGGTTTGCCTATACACAGACCATTGTCATCTAGGTTTGCCTATACACAGACCATTGTCATCTAGGTTTGCCTATACACAGACAATTGTCATCTAGGTTTACCTACGGACATACCACGGTCGTCTAGGTTTACTTACACACATAACACGGTCGTCTAGGTTTGCCTACACACATAACACGGCCGTCTAGGTTTGCCTACACACATAACACGGCCGTCTAGGTTTGCCTACACACATAACAAGGCCGTCTAGGTTTGCCTACACACAGACTATTGTCATCTAGGTTTGCCTACACACAGACTATTGTCATCTAGGTTTGCCTACACACATACCATGGACATTTCTCCCCTGAAGTTCTTAGTCCGCGTGAGGTCAGTCCCAAGGGTCAGTCCACACTCCATGATACTGCTCTTGGGGGCTGAAAAGAAAAAACTTTGTTTCATATTTGTTTATATACAGAATAACTCATAAACGGGGCATTTGTAAACATGGGTCATGTGTTAAAAACACACAAAACATTTTTTTAGCCATGTTTAATAGCCTACAAACACACTAGCCATGTTTACTAACGTCCAAACACAGTAGCCATGTTTACTAACGTCCAAACTCACTAGCCATGTTTAATAACGTCCAAACTCACTAGCCATGTTTACTAACGTCCACACACGCTAGCAATGTTTAATAACGTCCAAACACACTAGCCATATTTACTAACGTCCAAACACACTAGCCATGTTTACTAACGTCCAAACACACTAGCCATGTTTACTAACGTCCAAACACACTAGCCATGTTTACTAACGTCCAAACACACTAGCCATGTTTACTAACGTCCAAACACACTAGCCATGTTTACTAACGTCCAAAACACACTAGCCATGTTTACTAACGTCCAAAAACACACTAGCCATGTTTACTAACGTCCAAACACACTAGCCATGTTTACTAACGTCCAAAAACATGTTTACTAACGTCCAAATGTTTACCTAACGTCCAAACACACTAGCCATGTTTACTAACGTCCAAACACACTAGCCATATTTACTAACGTCCAAACACACTAGCCATGTTTACTAACGTCCAAACACACTAGCCATGTTTACTAACGTCCAAACACACTAGCCATGTTTACTAACGTCCAAACACACTAGCCATATTTACTAACGTCCAAACACACTAGCCATGTTTACTAACGTCCAAACACACTAATATATTTACTAACGTCCAAACACACTAGCCATGTTTACTAACGTCCAAACACACTAGCCATGTTTACTAACGTCCAAACACACTAGCCATGTTTACTAACGTCCAAACACGCTAGCCATGTTTAATAACGTCCAAACACACTAGCCATGTTTACTAACGTCCAAACACGCTAGCCATGTTTACTAACGTCCAAACACGCTAGCAATGTTTAATAACGTCCAAACACACTAGCCATGTTTACTAACGTCCAAACACACTAGCCATGTTTACTAACGTCCAAACACACTAGCCAGCATGCAATGTTTACTAACGTCCAAACTCACTAGCCATGTTTTACTAACGTCCAAACACACTAGCCATGTTTACTAACGTCCACACTAGCCATGTTTAATAACGTCCAAACACACTAGCCATGTTTACTAACGTCCAAACACACTAGCCATGTTTACTAACGTCCAAACACACTAGCCATGTTTACTAACGTCCAAACACACTAGCCATATTTACTAACGTCCAAACACACTAGCCATGTTTACTAACGTCCAAACACACTAGCCATGTTTACTAACGTCCAAACACACTAGCCATGTTTACTAACGTCCAAACACGCTAGCAATGTTTAATAACGTCCAAAACACACTAGCCATATTTACTAACGTCCAAACATCACTACTAGCCATGTTTACTAACGTCCAAACACACTAGCAATGTTTAATAACGTCCAAACACACTAGCCATAATTTACTAACGTCCAAACACGCACTAGCCATGTTTACTAACGTCCAAACACACTAGCCATGTTTACTAACGTCCAAAACACACTAGCCATGTTTACTAACGTCCAAAACACACTAGCCATGTTTACTAACGTCCAAACACACTAGCCATGTTTACTAACGTCCAAACACACTAGCCATGTTTACTAACGTCCAAACACACTAGCCATGTTTACTAACGTCCAAACACACTAGCTAGCCATGTTTACTAACGTCCAAACACACTAGCCATATTTACTAACGTCCAAACACACTAGCCATGTTTACTAACGTCCAAACAACTAGCCATGTTTACTAACGTCCAAACACACTAGCCATGTTTACTAACGTCCAAACACACTAGCCATGTTTACTAGCTAACGTCCAAACACACTAGCCATGTTTACTAACGTCCAAACACACTAGCCATGTTTACTAACGTCCAAACACACTAGCCATGTTTACTAACGTCCAAACACACTAGCATGTTTACTAACGTCCAAAACACTAAGCCATGTTTACTAACGTCCAAACACACTAGCCATGTTTACTAACGTCCAAACACACTAGCCATACCAGCCATTTACTAACGTCCAAACTACACTAACGTCCAAACACACTAGCTATATTTACTAACGTCCAAACACACTAGCCATGTTTACTAACGTCCAAACACACTAGCCATATTTACTAACGTCCAAACACACTAGCCATGTTTACTAACGTCCAAACACACTAGCCATGTTTACTAACGTCCAAACACACTAGCCATGTTTACTAACGTCCAAACACACTAGCCATGTTTACTAACGTCCAAACACACTAGCCATGTTTACTAACGTCCAAACACACTAGCCATGTTTACTAACGTCCAAACACACTAGCCATGTTTACTAACGTCCAAACACACTAGCCATATTTACTAACGTCCAAACACACTAGCCATGTTTACTAACGTCCAAACACACTAGCCATGTTTACTAACGTCCAAACACACTAGCCATGTTTACTAACGTCCAAACACACTAGCCATGTTTACTAACGTCCAAACACACTAGCCATGTTTACTAACGTCCAAACACACTAGCCATGTTTACTAACGTCCAAACACACTAGCCATATTTACTAACGTCCAAACACACTAGCCATATTTACTAACGTCCAAACACACTAGCCATGTTTACTAACGTCCAAACACACTAGCCATGTTTACTAACGTCCAAACACACTAGCCATATTTACTAACGTCCAAACACACTAGCCATATTTACTAACGTCCAAACACACTAGCCATGTTTACTAACGTCCAAACACACTAGCCATGTTTACTAACGTCCAAACACGCTAGCAATGTTTACTAACGTCCAAACACACTAGCCATATTTACTAACGTCCAAACACGCTAGCCATGTTTACTAACGTCCAAACACGCTAGCCATGTTTACTAACGTCCAAACACACTAGCCATGTTTACTAACGTCCAAACACACTAGCCATATTTACTAACGTCCAAACACACTAGCCATGTTTACTAACGTCCAAACACACTAGCCATGTTTACTAACGTCCAAACACACTAGCCATGTTTACTAACGTCCAAACACACTAGCCATATTTACTAACGTCCAAACACACTAGCCATGTTTACTAACGTCCAAACACACTAGCCATGTTTACTAACGTCCAAACACACTAGCCATGTTTACTAACGTCCAACTAACGTCCAAACAGCCATGTTTACTAGCCATGTTTACTAACGTCCAAACACACTAGCCATGTTTACTAACGTCCAAACACACTAGCCATGTTTACTAACGTCCAAACACACTAGCCATGTTTACTAACGTCCAAACACACTAGCCATGTTTACTAACGTCCAAAACACACTAGCCATGTTTACTAACGTCCAAACACACTAGCCATATATGTTTACTAAAGTCATAGCCATATTTACTAACGTCCAAACACACTAGCCATGTTTACTAACGTCCAAACACACTAGCCATGTTTACTAACGTCCAAACACACTAGCCATGTTTACTAACGTCCAAACACACTAGCCATGTTTACTAACGTCCAAACACACTAGCCATGTTTACTAACGTCCAAACACACTAGCCATGTTTACTAACGTCCAAACACACTAGCCATGTTTACTAACGTCCAAACAGCCATATTTACTAACGTCCAAACACACTAGCCATGTTTACTAACGTCCAAACACACTAGCCATGTTTACTAACGTCCAAACACACTAGCCATGTTTACTAACGTCCAAACACACTAGCCAGCCATGTTTACTAACGTCCAAAACACACTAGCCATGTTTACTAACGTCCAAACACACACTAGCCATGTTTACTAACGTCCAAACACACTAGCCATGTTTACTAACGTCCAAACACACTAGCCATGTTTACTAACGTCCAAACACACTAGCCATATTTACTAACGTCCAAACACACTAGCCATGTTTACTAACGTCCAAACACACTAGCCATGTTTACTAACGTCCAAACACACTAGCCATGTTTACTAACGTCCAAACACACTAGCCATGTTTACTAACGTCCAAACACACTAGCCATGTTTACTAACGTCCAAACACACTAGCCATGTTTACTAACGTCCAAACACACTAGCCATGTTTACTTTCCAAACACACTAGCCATAACGTCCAAACACACTAGCCATGTTTACTAACGTCCAAACACACTAGCCATGTTTACTAACGTCCAAACACACTAGCCATGTTTACTAACGTCCAAACACACTAGCCATGTTTTACTAACGTCCAAACACACTAGCCATGTTTACTAACGTCCAAACACACTAGCCATATTTACTAACGTCCAAACACACTAGCCATGTTTACTAACGTCCAAACACACTAGCCATGTTTACTAACGTCCAAACACACTAGCCATGTTTACTAACGTCCAAACACACTAGCCATGTTTACTAACGTCCAAACACACTAGCCATGTTTACTAACGTCCAAACACACTAGCCATATGTTTACTAACGTCCAAACACACTAGCCATATTTACTAACGTCCAAACACACTAGCCATGTTTACTAACGTCCAAACACACTAGCCATGTTTACTAACGTCCAAACACACTAGCCATGTTTACTAACGTCCAAACACACTAGCCATGTTTACTAACGTCCAAACACACTAGCCATGTTTACTAACGTCCAAACACACTAGCCATATGTTTACTAACGTCCAAACACACTAGCCATGTTTACTAACGTCCAAACACACTAGCCATGTTTACTAACGTCCAAACACACTAGCCATATTTACTAACGTCCAAACACACTAGCCATGTTTACTAACGTCCAAACACACTAGCCATGTTTACTAACGTCCAAACACACTAGCCATGTTTACTAACGTCCAAACACACTAGCCATATTTTACTAACGTCCAAACACACTAGCCATGTTTACTAACGTCCAAACACACTAGCCATATTTACTAACGTCCAAACACACTAGCCATGTTTACTAACGTCCAAACACACTAGCCATATTTACTAACGTCCAAACACACTAGCCATATTTACTAACGTCCAAACACACTAGCCATGTTTACTAACGTCCAAACACACTAGCACTAAGCCATATTTACTAACGTCCAAACACACTAGCCATATTTACTAACGTCCAAACACACTAGCCATATTTACTAACGTCCAAACACACTAGCCATGTTTACTAACGTCCAAACACACTAGCCATATTTACTAACGTCCAAACAAGCCATGTTTACTAACGTCCAAACACATAAGCCATATTTACTAACGTCCAAACACACTAGCCATATTTACTAACGTCCAAACACACTAGCCATGTTTACTAACGTCCAAACACACTAGCCATGTTTACTAACGTCCAAACACACTAGCCATGTTTACTAACGTCCAAACTCACTAGCCATGTTTACTAACGTCCAAACTCACTAGCCATGTTTACTAACGTCCAAACTCACTAGCCATGTTTACTAACGTCCAAACACACTAGCCATGTCTACCAACGTCCAAACTCACTTGCCATGTTTAATAACATCCAAACACACTAGCCATGTTTAATAACATCCAAACACACTAGCCATGTTTAATAACTTCCAAGTACATTAGCCATGTCTGTGAAATTATATACGTTTAAAAATGCAAGAGAAAGATGGAGGTGTTTTGTACAGGACGCCAGACTGTGTGGACGTTGTGTGAAGCTGTACAAACATATGAAAGATGAGCAGAAATACCTATCTTAAAAGTGCGATTATATAGCATTATATACAGACGAGCTACGGGATCGAAGTGAGTCGATGGATATAACAACATACATAGTCAGACTACAGTATAGGATCGAAGTGAGTGGGCGGATATAACAACATTCATAGTCAGACTACGGTATAGGATCGAAGTGAGTGGGCGGATATAACAACATACATAGACAGACTACGGTATAGGATCGAAGTGAGTGGGCGGATATAACAACACTCATAGACTACGGTATAGGATCGAAGTGAGTGGGCGTATATAACAGCACTCATAGACTACGGTATAGGATCGAAGTGAGTGGGCTGATATAACAGCACTCATAGACTACGGTATAGGATCGAAGTGAGTGGGCTGATATAACAACATACATAGACAGACTATGGTATAGTATCGAAGTGAGTGGATGGATATAACAACATACATAGACAGACTACGGTATAGGATCGAAGTGAGTGGGCGGATATAACAACATACATAGACAGACTATGGTATAGGATCGAAGTGAGTGGATGGATATAACAACATACATAGTCAGACTACGGTGTAGGATCGAAGTAAGTGGGCTGATATAACAACATACATAGACAGACTACGGTATAGGATCGAAGTGAGTGGGCGGATATAACAGCACTCATAGACTACGGTATAGGATCGAAGTGAGTGGGCGTATATTACAGCACTCATAGACTACGGTATAGGATCAAAGTGAGTGGGCGGATATAACAACATACATAGACAGACTACGGTATAGGATCAAAGTGAGTGGATGGATATAACAACATACATAGACAGACTACGGTATAGGAACGAAGTGAGTGGGCGGATATAACAACATACATAGACAGACTATGGTATAGGATCGAAGTGAGTGGATGGATATAACAACATACATAGACAGACTACGGTATAGGATCGAAGTGAGTGGACGGATATAAACAACATACATAGACAGACTACGGTATAGGATCGAAGTGAGTGGATGGATATAACAACATACATAGTCAGACTACGGTATAGGATCGAAGTGAGTGGGCGGATATAACAACATACATAGACAGACTACGGTATAGGATCGAAGTGAGTGGGCGGATATAACAACATACATAGTCAGACTACGGTATAGGATCAAAGTGAGTGGGCTGATATAACAACATACATAGACAGACCATGGTATAGGATCGAAGTGAGTGGACGGATATAACAACATACATAGACAGACTACGGTATAGGATCGAAGTGATTGGATGGATATAAACAACATACATAGACTACGGTATAGGATCGAAGTGAGTGGATGGATATAACAACATACATAGGCAGACTACGGTATAGGATCGAAGTGAGTGGGCGGATATAAACAACATACATAGACAGACTACGGTATAGGATCGAAGTGAGTGGGCGGATATAACAACATACATAGACAGACTACGGTATAGGATCGAAGTGAGTGGGCTGGATATAACAACATACATAGACAGACTACGGTATAGGATCGAAGTGAGTGGGCGGATATAACAACATACATAGACAGACTACGGTATAGGATCGAAGTGAGTGGACGGATATATAACAGCATACATAGACAGACTACGGTATAGGATCGAAGTGAGTGGGCTGGATATAACAACACTCATAGACTACGGTATAGGATCGAAGTGAGTGGGCGGATATAAACAACATACATAGACAGACTACGGTATAGGATCGAAGTGAGTGGGCGGATATAACAACATACATAGACAGACTACGGTATAGGATCGAAGTGAGTGGGCGGATATAACAGACAGACTACGGTATAACACTACATAGACAGACTACGGTATAGGATCGAAGTGAGTGGGCGGATATAACAACAACATACATAGACAGACTACGGTATAGGATCGAAGTGAGTGGGCGGATATAACAACATACATAGACAGACTACGGTATAGGATCGAAGTGAGTGGGCGGATATAAACAACATACATAGACAGACTACGGTATAGGATCGAAGTGAGTGGGCGGATATAACAACATACATAGACAGACTACGGTATAGGATCGAAGTGAGTGGGCGGATATAACAACATACATAGACAGACTACGGTATAGGATCGAAGTGAGTGGGCGTATATAACAACATACATAGACAGACTACGGTATAGGATCGAAGTGAGTGGGCGGATATAACAACATACATAGACAGACTACGGTATAGGATCGAAGTGAGTGGGCGGATATAAACAACATACATAGACAGACTACGGTATAGGATCGAAGTGAGTGGGCGGATATAACAACATACGGTATAGGACAGATATAACTACGGTATAGGATCGAAGTGAGTGGGCGGATATAACAACATACATAGACAGACTACGGTATAGGATCGAAGTGAGTGGGCGGATATAAACAACATACATAGACAGACTACGGTATAGGATACGGTATAGGAAGTGAGTGGGCGGATATAACAACATACATAGACAGACTACGGTATAGGATCGAAGTGAGTGGGCGGATATAACAACATACATAGACAGACTACGGTATAGGATCGAAGTGAGTGGGCGGATATAACAACATACATAGACAGACTACGGTATAGGATCGAAGTGAGTGGGCGGATATAACAACATACATAGACAGACTACGGTATAGGATCGAAGTGAGTGGGCGGATATAAACAACATACATAGACAGACTATGGTATAGGATCGAAAGTGAGTGGATGATATATAACAACATACATAGACAGACTACGGTATAGGATCGAAGTGAGTGGGCGGATATAACAACATACATAGACAGACTACGGTATAGGATCGAAGTGAGTGGATCGGATATAACAACATACATAGACAGACTACGGTATAGGATCGAAGTGAGTGGGCTGATATAACAACACTACATAGACAGACTACGGTATAGGATCGAAGTGAGTGGGCGGATATAACAACATACATAGACAGACTACGGTGAAGGCCAGAGGGTGTTAAGTCTCAGACTTTGGAAATCTTAAACCTATAGACATGTGACTAGAATACATATCAGGCTGTCACTCTCTCCCTGCCACTCACTCACTCACCCAATGCATGGCTGAAGAACCTGGTCTTGTCCGACTTGATGATGCCGACCATGGTGTTGCCGTTGTACATCAGAATCACATCCTTCCAATCGGGAGCAGGGAACCCCTGAAGGATCGAACCACGATTATAGCTAGCACATCCTACACCTGAACCTCGACGGCCATCACATATGAATTACTGAAAGGTCTAAGATACATATTAAAACGTTCATAGTTTAATGTAATGACAGGTTGTGACTGTGACACATGTGACTGTGGCCTTGACATTGGTGATGGTGACCCCTAATACTTATAGGTGAGAATATTCCCAGGAGACTTACATCAGGACGTCATAAGGCATCAACAAGCTTAGACGACCACGTTTGATAGATGAAAGCTATGTTAACTCTCAAAGTTATGCACGATAGAAAAGCCTTGTACATATGTGTTGCGATCTTAATGACTAGTAATTTGAACGATCCTATGTCTACCACAGAAAATGACTGGAAATTACCTTCAATGTTACATTGAACAATTCATGTTTTCAGTCGTGATCTTTAAGAAGTTCTTCAGAAGGTTAGAGCTAAAAACCAAACATATTTACCCTTCTTCGAAAAATACCAGCTTTTACCTAACAATATATACCAAACACATAGTTTAAAAAACCATCATTGAAAGCTTCATTCGGTTGTTGGGAGAAAGAGATAATTCATTATGTAAATGGTGTAACTCGTCTTGTGTCGCTGATGAATTTCACAATCTGCTTCGTTGTTAAAGGGGAATACTAGACAATTGCAATAATTTGCTGGGTGAAAGATAAAGTCATCAGAGACATGTATACAAAATTTTATTTAAAAAATATGATTTATTATGTTTTTATCGCAAAAACAGTTTCTGTTATCTGAGCTTCGGCCATTTTGCATATTCCGCTGGAACTCTCGTGACCTTTCCGCTCGTGACGTCATATGTGACTAGCGTCCGCCATATTGCCAAAAAACAAGCGCTACAGTAATACAAATCGTGTTGTTTCTGTCGATTTGTAAATGGTACGATGATGTATTCCGTTGCCTGGGGATGCACGGAATCATCGAACAATGGAAAGAGCCACCATTTCTTCCGTTATCCAAGTAAAGAGACAGATTTAGGCAGGAGAAATGCTCCGATCATTCCGAGTCGGACACATATGAAAGAGACATGCACACATGGGGTGAAAATCCCAAAGCTACTAGGCTGAAGAAGGAAGAAGTACCCAAGAGATTAGTTTATACTCCATCATTCCCTGTAACAACTTACTGTCAGTGGTATTTTAACATAAATTAAATCAAGTCCGATTGCCAGACGAATTGCCCCCGCTACAAATTGCCCCAGCAAATTTGGTCAAATTGCCCCGGATTTTTGGTCACATTGCCCCAGGGGATAGTCAAAATGCCCCAATTTATTCAAAATGGTTAAATATAGACCATAAATGAATAGTTTTGTCAACTTTGATAGTATGTTCTTCATATAAAAGTATATACATATAGTTATGAGTTTACTAAAGGAACATTTATCAGAAGTATCACTTCCTAATCACTTTTATATGAAGAACACAATATCAAAGTTGACCAAAACTATGCATTTACGGCATATATTTATTCATTTTAAATATATTTGACCAACTTAGAGTGAATGACCAAATGTTGGCATTTTGTAGCTGGGGCAGTTCGACTGGTACCCATGAGATATATATTATCAAAATCAGTAAGAGATTTCACATGAGCTTGAAAATGTTTCGCTATAACGTTCTTTTCGGTTTGGAGCCCAAAATGCTGCAGTCTACCCGAAACATTGCCGAATACAACGGCAAATCATGAAGTACGTGTTGCATTCATTGTTTTCCATTTTGTCCAATTACGCACGTCGGCATCAGACTCGCTATTTGTCAGTAGTGTGTGCCGTGAAAGTTGTTCTGTGTTCTCATTGGCTGACAAGATGCCATTCTAAGGCTATGGCCGAGTGCAATAACTATTTCCATAACTAAACACTGAGGAAACATACATTGTCCTGACTGGTATTTTATAATTCACCAGTTTCCGGGGAATAACTTATCTGCGTCGCGTATATTATCTCTGCTCGACCAGGCTGGAATCTTGTATCGAGATTTGATACGTTATTAATGAGAACTAGGATCCTAATTTATTTCAACAAAATAATTCCAGTGTAATTTTTGTACCAGATAATTTCTATTTGCCCCCGTCTGAAGCATAATTATTTTGTTTTTAAATCCCTACAGTCACCCATTTGACACAAAAGGAACTTAGTCTGCAATCACATTTTTTTTAAATAATTCTTAGGGACTGGTCATATATTTATAGGGGAGGGTTTGCTGGTTGGAACTGTATCACATTTTGCTGACAAATAGTATTCTTGTTAAATGATATGGTCTATTTTAAAATTTATTTTGAACTCAAGCGGTGCCTCCGTTTTGCTTGATTATTCTTCTTCATCTTCACTGGAAAATTGTCTGGCAAGATGTAAAATCGGATCGTATTGATACGGTCTAACATTCATTTCAGATATGACATTGGGAACATGTTTCACTGCCTCAGAATCCATGGACACTGTTAAGTTGTGAGGTAAAATCAAAGAGGAAGCCAGCAGCAGCAGGCATATATGACGTCATGTCACGTGATATCCCCTCTGCTCATTAACTGTCGGGTGTTTCCCTAATAGGCGGAAATACGAGTACGTTTTTTGTGCTTTTATTGCTATTTTACAAACTTTTTGTTCAATTTTAATCACGGAAGGTGACTTTTAGAATATCCTCTACAATATATCAAAAGTTTTGTTTTCGTTTGTATTCTCCTTTAATCCTTTACTGTAATATGTTCAGTTCAAGCGTGGATTCATTTGGCCAAATGTCAATAACCTTGAATTTCTACAACTCGTCAAGAGTATTTTAAACATCGTCGAAGTTACAACCATATCAGATATTGATAAGAATGTATATACATAACTGCCATCTGCATTTGCTTAGTGCTGCCAACAGTCCAGTGGTTTCTATCATTAGGGATCCAGGGGAGTGGTATGTAGGCACAATGGGAGTTATGGACTTACCTGGGTTGCCATGGTGACTGAGTGCGTAGTTCCTACCCATGACATTATTTCAAACACCAGCTGTCTATTCACCAGGGCTATAACGAGGTTTTCTTTGCCGTTACAGTCGGTACCACTGACAAGCACCTGTCTGGAAGGGTTCATCTCGGTGGCCTCTCTGTACCGCAGGAACAACACCTGTGGGTTTTGTGGAGTCGCAGGTGAGGTGGTCAGGTCGACATTAATTCGACCCTGGCCAAACTGGGCGATGCCGCCTTGAAAGTTAATGTTAGAAGTTCTGACCCAGGAAGTAGAATTGATGAAGGCCTCATCAAACACCACGAATGCTTGAGGACTGCAATCTGAAAGGAGTTGGGTGGAGAGATTTTACGACATAGCGAAAACGTTAAGAGTTAGGATTCCATCACAATAATCAAAATGAACAGCATGAAGGTAGACAGAACAAACATGATGCAGTCATTTTATGTAATTACCATGGTTTCTCCGCTTTATGCATGCACATTCGAGGATGCTGAATTCTGTCCCGGTTGGGCAGTCGGCGGAGAGCCATCCATTCTGACCCCCATCTATCTGGAACTTGGAGGAGTCTCCCCACACTGGCAGCTTGTCACAGACCCCTGTCACAGAACACACAACGTTAATATCTGCCACACAACCCCAAGTCACAGATGGTTGACATGCCGGACACAGCAACATACACATGTATACACCACAAGTCACAGATGGTTGACATGCCGGACACAGCAACATACACATGTATACACCACAAGTCACGGATGGTTGACATGCCGGCATTAGCAACATACACATGTATACACCACACGTCACAGATGGTTGACATGCCGGACACAGCAACATGTACACATGTGTGTGCGTGACTTACCTGTGCCGAAGCAGGATGAAGGACAGTGGTCCTGGCAATTGAAGTCCGGCTTGCACCCCCGGGTAGTGTATCTGTACCCCTCGGGACAGCATTCCGCCGCCACCCGGCCGCTGGAGTCACAAGACCAGAAGCCGCGGCAGTTTCCGTCCATGGCGTAACTCAACACGTTCCCCATTCGACATTTTTCTGAAACACAGTGACACCTCATAAAAACTCGAGACACCATATCAGCAACATACAGCGACACCATGTCAGTAACACACCAGGACACCATGTCAGTAACACGCCAGGACACCATGTCAGTAACACACCAGGACACCATGTCAGTAACACACCAGGACACCAGGTTAGTAACACACCAGGACACCATGTCAGTAACACACCAGGACACCATGTCAGTAACACACCAGGACACCATGTCAGTAACACACCAGGACACCATGTCAGTAACACACCAGGACACCATGTCAGTAACACACCAGGACACCATGTCAGTGACACACCAGGACACCATGTCAGTAACACACCAGGACACCATGTCAGTAACACACCAGGACACCATGTCAGTAACACACCAGGACACCATGTCAGTGACACACCAGGACACCATGTCAGTAACATACCAGGACACCATGTCAGTAACACACCAGGACACCATATCAGTGACAAACCAGGACACCATGTCAGTAACATACCAGGACACACCAGGTCAGTAACACACCAGGGACACCATGTCAGTAACACACCAGGACACCATGTCAGTAACACACCAGGACACCATGTCAGTAACACACCAGGACACCATGTCAGTAACACACCAGGACACCATGTCAGTGACACACCAGGACACCATGTCAGTAACACACCAGGACACCATGTCAGTAACACACCAGGACACCATGTCAGTAACACACCAGGACACCATGTCAGTAACACACCAGGACACCATGTCAGTGACACACCAGGACACCATGTCAGTAACACACCAGGACACCATGTCAGTAACACACCAGGACACCATGTCAGTAACACACCAGGACACCATGTCAGTAACACACCAGGACACCATGTCAGTGACACACCAGGACACCATGTCAGTAACACACCAGGACACCATATCAGTAACAAACCAGGACACCATGTCAGTAACACACCAGGACACCATGTCAGTAACACACCAGGACACCATGTCAGTAACACACCAGGACACCATGTCAGTAACACACCAGGACACCATGTCAGTAACACACCAGGACACCATGTCAGTAACACACCAGGACACCATGTCAGTAACACACCAGGACACCATGTCAGTAACAAACCAGGACACCATGTCAGTGACACACCAGGACACCATGTCAGTAACACACCAGGACACCATCTCAGTAACAAACCAGGACACCATGTCAGTAACACACCAGGACACCATGTCAGTAACACACCAGGACACCATGTCAGTAACACATGTCAGTAACCAGGACACCATGTCAGTAACACACCAGGACACCATGTCAGTAACACACCAGGACACCATGTCAGTAACACACCAGGACACCATGTCAGTAACACACCAGGACACCATGTCAGTAACACACCAGGACACCATGTCAAACACACCAGGACACCATGTCAGTGACACACCAGGACACCATGTCAGTAACACACCAGGACACCATGTCAGTAACACACCAGGACACCATGTCAGTAACACACCAGGACACCATGTCAGTGACACACCAGGACACCATGTCAGTAACACACCAGGACACCATGTCAGTGACACACCAGGACACCATGTCAGTGACACACCAGGACACCATATCAGCAACATACAGCGACACCGTGTCAGTAACACGCCAGGACACCATGTCAGTAACACACCAGGACACCAGGTTAGTAACACACCAGGACACCATGTCAGTAACACACCAGGACACCATGTCAGTGACACACCACGACACCATGTCAGTGACACACCAAGACACCATGTCAGTAACACACCAGGACACCATATCAGTAACAAACCAGGACACCATGTAAGTAACACACCAGGACACCATGTCAGTGACACACCAGGACACCATGTCAGTAACACACCAGGACACCATGTCAGTAACACACCAGGACACCATGTCAGTAACACACCAGGACACCATGTCAGTGACACACCAGGACACCATGTCAGTAACACACCAGGACACCATGTCAGTAACACACCAGGACACCATGTCAGTGACACACCAGGACACCATGTCAGTAACACACCAGGACACCATCTCAGTAACACACCAGGACACCATGTCAGTGACAAACCAGGACACCATGTAAGTAACACACCAGGACACCAGTAACACACCAGGACACCATGTCAGTAACACACCAGGACACCATGTCAGTAACAAACCAGGACACCATATCAGTAACACACCAGGACACCATATCAGTAACACACCAGGACACCATGTCAGTAACACACCAGGACACCATGTCAGTAACACACCAGGACACCATGTCAGTAACACACCAGGACACCATGTCAGTAACACACCAGGACACCATGTCAGTAACACACCAGGACACCATGTCAGTAACACACCAGGACACCATGTCATAACACACCAGGACACCATGTCAGTAACACACCAGGACACCATGTCAGTAACACACCAGGACACCATGTCAGTAACAGTAACCAGGACACCATGTCAGTAACACACCAGGACACCATGTCAGTAACACACCAGGACACCATGTCAGTAACACACCAGGACACCATGTCAGTAACACACCAGGACACCATGTCAGTCAGGACACCATGTCAGTAACACACCAGGACACCATGTCAGTAACACACCAGGACACCATGTCAGTAACACACCAGGACACCATGTCAGTAACACACCAGGACACCATGTCAGTAACACACCAGGACACCATGTCAGTAACAGGACACCAGGACACCATGTCAGTAACACACCAGGACACCATGTCAGTAACACACCAGGACACCATGTCAGTAACACACCAGGACACCATGTCAGTAACACACCAGGACACCATGTCAGTAACACACCAGGACACCATGTCAGTAACACACCAGGACACCATGTCAGTAACACACCACCAGGACACCATGTCAGTAACACACCAGGACACCATGTCAGTAACACACCAGGACACCATGTCAGTAACACACCAGGACACCATGTCAGTAACACACCAGGACACCATGTCAGTAACACACCAGGACACCATCAGTAACAAACCAGGACACCATGTCAGTAACACTATGTCAGTAACACACCAGGACACCATGTCAGTAACACACCAGGACACCATGTCAGTAACACACCAGGACACCATATCAGTAACACACCAGGACACCATGTCAGTAATGTCAGTAACACACCAGGACACCATGTCAGTAACACACCAGGACACCATGTCAGTAACACACCAGGACACCATGTCAGTAACACACCAGGACACCATGTCAGTAACACACCAGGACACCATGTCAGTGACACACCAGGACACCATGTCAGTGACACACCAGGACACCATGTCAGTAACACACCAGGACACCATGTCAGTAACACACCAGGACACAATGTCAGTAACACACCAGGACACCATGTCAGTGACACACCGGGACACCATGTCAGTAACATACCAGGACACCATGTCAGTGACACACCAGGACACCATGTCAGTAACACACCAGGACACCATCTCAGTAACACACCAGGACACCATGTCAGTGACAAACCAGGACACCATGTAAGTAACACATCAGGACACCATGTCAGTAACACACCAGGACACCATGTCAGTAACACACCAGGTAACACACCACCATATGTCAGTAACACACCAGGACACCGTAACACCACACCATGTCAGTAACACACCAGGACACCATGTCAGTAACACACCACCAGGGACACCATGTCACACCATAACACACCAGGACACCAGTAACACACCAGGACACCATCTCAGTAACACACCAGGACACCATATCAGTAACACACCAGGACACCATATCAGTAACACAGTAGGACACCAGGACACCATGTCAGTAACACACCAGGACACCATCTCAGTAACACACCAGGACACCATGTCAGTGACAAACCAGGACACCATGTAAGTAACACATCAGGACACCATGTCAGTAACACACCAGGGCACCATCTCAGTAACACACCAGGACACCATATCAGTAACACACCAGGACACCATGTCAGTAACACACCAGGACACCATGTCAGTAACACACCAGGACACCATGTCAGTAACACACCAGGACACCATGTCAGTAACACACCAGGACACCATGTCAGTAACACACCAGGACACCATGTCAGTAACACACCAGGACACCATGTCAGTAACACACCAGGACACCATGTCAGTAACACACCAGGACACCATGTCAGTAACACACCAGGACACCATGTCAGTAACACACCAGGACACCATGTCAGTAACACACCAGGACACCATGTCAGTAACACACCAGGACACCATCTCAGTACACAGGACACCAGTAACACACCAGGACACCATGTCAGTAACACACCAGGACACCATGTCAGTAACACACCAGGACACCATGTCAGTAACACACCAGGACACCATCAGTGACACACCAGGACACCACCAGGACACACCAGGACACCATCTCGGTAACACACCAGGACACCATGTCAGTAACACACCAGGACACCATGTCAGTAACACACCAGGACACCATGTCAGTAACACACCAGGACACCATGTCAGTAACACACCAGGACACCATGTCAGTAACACACCAGGACACCATATCAGTAACACACCAGGGACCAGGTAACAAACAGGACACACCATGTCAGTGACACACCAGGACACCATGTCAGTAACACACCAGGACACCATGTCAGTAACACACCAGGACACCATGTCAGTAACACACCAGGACACCATGTCAGTAACACACCAGGACACCATGTCAGTACACCAGGACACACCAGGACACCATGTCAGTAACACACCAGGACACCATAGTAACACAGTAACACACCAGGACACCATGTCAGTAACACACCAGGACACCATCAGTCAGTAACACACCAGGACACCATGTCAGTAACACACCAGGACACCATGTCAGTAACACACCAGGACACCATGTCAGTAACACACCAGGACACCATGTCAGTAACACACCAGGACACCATGTCAGTAACATACCAGGACACCATGTCAGTGACACACCAGGACACCATGTCAGTAACACACCAGGACACCATCTCAGTAACACAACAGGACACCATCTCAGTGACAAACCAGGACACCATGTAAGTAACACATCAGGACACCATCTCAGTAACACACCAGGGCACCATCTCAGTAAAACACCAGGACACCATATCAGTAACACACCAGGACACCATGTCAGTAACACACCAGGACACCATGTCAGTAACACACAGGACACCATGTCAGTAACACACCAGGACACCATATCAGTACCATGTCACACCAGGACACCATGTCAGTAACACACCAGGACACCATGTCAGTAACACACCAGGACACCACCAGGACACCATGTCAGTAACACACCAGGACACCAGGGCACCAGTAACACACCAGGACACCATGTCAGTGACACACCAGGACACCATGTAACACACCGGTCAGTGACAAACCAGGACACCATGTCAGTATTACACCAGGACACCATCTCAGTGACACACCTGGACACCATGTCAGTAACACACCAGGGCACCATGTCAGTAACACACCGGGACACCATGTCAGTGACACACCAGGGCACCATGTCAGTGACAAACCAGGACACCATGTCAGTATTACACCTGGACATCATCTCAGTAACACACCTGGACACCATGTCAGTAACACACCAGGACACCATGTCAGTGACACACCGGGACACCATGTCAGTAACATACCAGGACATCATGTCAGTGACATACCAGGACACTCATGTCAGTACACACCAGGACACATGTCAGGACACCATCTCAGTAACAACAGGACACCATCTCAGTGACAAACCAGGACACCATGTCAGTAACACATCAGGACACCATGTCAGTGACACACCAGGACACCATGTCAGTAACACACCAGGTAACACACCGACACCATCTCAGTAACACACCAGGACACCATATCAGTAACACACCAGGACACCATATCAGTAACACACCAGGACACCATATCAGTAACACACCAGGACACCATGTCAGTGACACACCAGGACACCATGTCAGGGACACACCAGGACACCATGTCAGGGACACACCAGGACACCATGTCAGGGACACACCAGGGCACCATGTCAGTAACACACCAGGACACCATGTCAGTGACACACCAGGGCACCATGTCAGGGACACACCAGGGCACCATGTCAGTAACACACCAGGACACCATCTCAGTAACACACCTGGACACCATCTCAGTAGCACACCAGGACACCAGATCACACATCACTCCTACAGCTTTACGTTTAGCATCACTCTTTTTCGCAGTTCCATATAAGGCCGTGTAATCCTCATGCTGTTATGCGAGACTTATGGAGGCCTTATGGGGGATTGCTCCATAACTGTTTAGGTTTTTACTGTCTGTAGTGCAGCCTGTTTGGACGACAGGACGGGTCACAAGAGGGACTTAGACACATGGGCTCCTTGTACGTGGGACTACTTACCCATGGGACAGTCCACCTCCCAGACATTGTTGCATCTACGAGTCAGCTGGTCCCAGTGATGTCCGAAGGGGCAGGTGCGATAGAGACCCCTCACCTCACCTCCGGGGCCATAGTAACACTGCAGATACTTGTCACATGCATTAGGGTGGTAACGATATCCCACCCCACTCGCGTTGAAGACGTCGCTGCAGAGACCAACTGACAACAAGAACAAAGTAGCATCAGATATCTCACGTCCACTGATGTCGTTCAGGCAGGTGTTACAGGAGCGCACACACTTAGTAACTTACTACCTGTGTAACTGGGGTACTACCTGTATAACTGGGGTACTACCTGTATAACTGGGGTACTACCTGTGTATAACTGGGGTACTACCTATAAGGGGTGTAACTGGGGTACTACCTGTATAACTGGGGTACTACCTGTATAACTGGGGTACTACCTGTATAACTGGGGTACTACCTGTGTAACTACCTGTATAACTGGGGTACTACCTGTGTAACTGGGGTACTACCTGTATAACTGGGGTACTACCTGTATAACTGGGGTACTACCTGTGTAACTGGGGTACTACCTGTATAACTGGGGGGTAACTACCTGTATAACTGGTACTACCTGGTACTACCTGTATAACTGGGGTACTACCTGTATAACTGGGGTACTACCTGTATAACTGGGGTACTACCTGTATAACTGGGGTAACTGGGGTACTACCTGTATAACTGGGGTACTACCTGTATAACTGGGGTACTACCTGTATAACTGGGGTACTACCTGTATAACTGGGGTACTACCTGTATAACTGGGGTATAACTGGGGTACTACCTGTATAACTGGGGTACTACCTGTATAACTGGGGTACTACCTGTGTAACTGGGGTACTACCTGGGGTACTACCTGTATAACTGGGGTACTACCTGTGTAACTGGGGTACTACCTGTGTAACTGGGGTACTACCTGTATAACTGGGGTACTACCTGTATAACTGGGGTACTACCTGTATAACTGGGGTACTACCTGTATAACTGGGGTACTACCTGTATAACTACTACCTGGCACTACCTGTATAACTGGGGTACTACCTGTATAACTGGGGTGTATAACTGGGGTACTACCTGTATAGCTGGGGTACTACCTGTGTAACTGGGGTACTCATAACTGGGGTACTACCTGTGTAACTGGGGTACTACTACCTGGTAACTACCTACCTGTATAACTGGGTTAACTATTAACTGGGGTACTACCTGTAACTGGGGGTACACCTTGGGTACTACCTGTATAACTGGGGTACTACCTGTATAACTGGGGTACTACCTGTATAACTGGGGGTGCTACATGTATAGCTGGGTGCACAGGGGAATTAACCAGGTCATATTTCTGCGTGACTAGGCTAACAAGTTAATATTTCTGTGCACTGTATAGGACTACGTGTTATTATTTCCGTTATGGTAAGTCATTATGCTGGTTTTTTCCATTAATGGATCATTATTCCTGTGTCTTCAAGATACGTTAGTATTATTGCTGTATTGGTAGGGTAACAATTCATCACGTTTGTGTGTTTAGGGTTACATTCTTTCTATTCTGCTTGATAAGTTGTTATTAGTTCAGTGTTGTTAGGGCAATTCCTATTTCGTTTTCTTTCTAAGTTTAACTTGTTAGTTTTTCTATAAACTTAATTAATTTTATTATTTTAATTATTTCTGTGTAAACAGGGTTACATGTGACATATTTCTTTGTAGGTTAACGGGTGATTATGTACTTTGCTTCTAATGTACTTTTACGTACACTCATCACGTCAGTGTTGTATTGACAGCCTTTGTTAACGCCTGTGTGTGCTTTTGTTTGCCTACACGTAATTGTGTGTGTGTGCCCGAGTGTGCCTGCGTGTAGGTGTGTGCCTGACACAGTGGGTATGTAACTGCGTGTGTCTGTGTGTTCCTGCCTCAGTGGGTGTGTAACTGCATGTGTCTGTGTGTATGTGGGTCACATTGGGTGTGTAACTGGGTGTGTATATGTGTGCCTGTCTCAGTGGGTGTGTAACTACGTGTGTCTGTGTGTACCTGCCTCAGCGGGTGTGTAACTGCGTGTGTCTCTGTGTGCCTGCCTCTGTGGTGTGTAACTATGTCTGTCTGTGTGTGCCTGTCTCAGTGGGTGTGTACCTGCGTATGTCTGTGTGTGCCTGCCTCAGTGGGTGTGTACCTGTGTGTCTGTGTGTGCCTGTCTCAGTGGGTGTGTATCTGCGTGTGTCTGTGTGTGTCTGTCTCAGTGGGTTTGTAACTGCGTGTGTCTGTGTGTGCCTGCCTCAGTGGGTGTGTACCTGCGTGTATCTGTGAGTATTAATACCTCACCTTTTGATGAAGGACATGCCGGGACGGAGCAGTTGCTCTCTTTGATTTCAAAGGATTTTCCAAAACACGGTAATCCATTAGCGGTCTGTCTGGGGTTGTCACAGCGCCGTTCCCTCCTCTCAGTCCCCGTCACCAGCTCCCCACAGGACGCAGAACAGCTCTCTCTACTCCAGTTGCCCCACACACTCCAGCCACCATTGACTGTACCTACATGTCACCAATCAAAGTGTCACCAGCTATCAGTACCTACATGTCACTCATCAAAGTGTCACCAGCTATCAGTACCTACATGTCACCCATCAAAGTGTCACCAGATATCAGTACCTACATGTCACCCATCAAAGTGTCACCAGCTATCAGTACCTACATGTCACCCATCAAAGTGTCACCAGCTATCAGTACCTACATGTCACTCATCAACAGCTGAAAGATGTCAGCTATCAGTACCTACATGTCACCCATCAAAGTGTCACCAGCTATCAGTACCTACATGTCACTCATCAAAGTGTCACCAGCTATCAGTACCTACATGTTACTCATCAACAGCTGTAAGATGTCAGCTATCAGTACCTACATGTTAATCATCAACAGTCTCCAGATGTCAGCTATCAGTACCTACATGTCACTCATCAACAGCTGTAAGATGTCAGCTATCAGTACCTACATGTTAATCATCAACAGTCTCCAGATGTCAGCTATCAGTACCTACATGTCACTCATCAACAGCTGTAAGATGTCAGCTATCAGTACCTACATGTTAATCATCAACAGTCTCCCGATGTCAGCTATCAGTACCTACATGTCACTCATCAACAGCTGAAAGATGTCAGCTATCAGTACCTACATGTTAATCATCAACAGTCTCCCGATGTCAGCTATCAGTACCTACATGTCACTCATCAACAGCTGTAAGATGTCAGCTATCAGTACCTACATGTCACTCATCAAAGTGTCACCAGCTATCAGTACCTACATGTCACTCATCAAAGTGTCACCAGCTATCAGTACCTACATGTCACTCATCAACAGCTGTAAGATGTCAGCTATCAGTACCTACATGTTAATCATCAACAGTCTCCCGATGTCAGCTATCAGTACCTACATGTCACTCATCAACAGCTGTAAGATGTCAGATATCAGTACCTACATGTCACCCATCAAAGTGTCACCAGCTATCAGTACCTACATGTCACTCATCAAAGTGTCACCAGCTATCAGTACCTACATGTCACTCATCAACAGCTGAAAGATGTCAGCTATCAGTACCTACATGTCACTCATCAACAGTCTCCAGATGTCAGCTATCAGTACCTACATGTCACTCATCAACAGCTGAAAGATGTCAGCTATGAGTACCTACATGTTAATCATCAACAGTCTCCAGATGTCAGCTATCAGTACCTACATGTTAATCATCAACAGTCTAAGGATGTCGGTGTAGAGGATGTAATTTTCGTAGAAGCTGGGAAGATTAACATTACTATTAAGTCTCAAACCAAAGACTCACCATTGCATGACGATGGCGTGGGACAGACATACTCTCTCTGTTCAAATCCACGTCCGCTACATCCCGTTGTTGTGCATGTTCGTCTGCGAAACTGTGACAACGCCGTTGATGCACAGCTTCCTGTACACTGTGGCGTCCATGACGACCATAGGCCCCATTCTCCTCCTGCAAGTGAAATTCACATGTACGGCGCATGCTTTGTCTTCTTTGAACACTCTACATATCAATAATGTAGTGTTGCGTGATATAAATGGAAATGGACCAGGAAAACCAGGTGTCATTCAGTCAACAAGCCGGAATACCAGAGGATCTCGCGGTACGAGCTGTTTGCTACATAGCTAAGCAGTACTCACGCATGTCACACCTGCTTGTTCAACAATCTCACACGTTTCATACGGGTTAAAACAAACACATGTTATACCTGTGCAATCAAAAAGTACATCAGAATGAACATACTTGGACTTGATACAACAATCACACGTACCTGGACGAAGTACAACAATCACATGTACCTGGAGGTTGTACAACAATCACACGTACCTGGAGATGATACAACAATCACACGTACCTGGAGGTGATACAACAATCAGACGTACCTGGAGGTGATACAACAATCACACGTACCTGGAGGTGATACAACAATCACACGTACCTGGAGATGATACAACAATCACACGTACCTGGAGATGATACAACAATCACACGTACCTGGAGGTGATACAACACATACCTGTACACGGGCTGAGTGTGCATGTTGCATTTCTCTGTTCACTCGAGTCTCCCGTGCACGGCTGGGTCACACACTCTCGGGTTCTGTTCTCTACACCAAAGACTTGCCCTCCGCACGTGGCTGAACAGTACCGTCTCCAGAAGGACCATTCTCCCCATCCTGACATAAGAAAATATTAATCTGCACACCATGAAGCTTAAAGGGTTTATTAGATTACTACACTAATGAGCTGAAGGTATATGTTTATTATCCCAACAATGAACCACGGTGATGTATTTACATTTACTAACTGCATAATGAACCACGAACGTGTATTAATTACCTAAACAATGGAACAAATGTGTCAATATTACCTGGTGGTGACAAGATGGTGACGTGTGTGTGAAGGTATGTAGTATATATACAGGTCCACACTACATTGTGGTGACAAGATGGTGACAAGATGATGACGTGTGTGTGAAGGTATGTAGGATATAGACAGGACCACACTACCTGGTGGTGACAAGATGACAAGATGGTGACAAGATGGTGACGTGTGTGTGACGGTGTGTAGTATGTAGACAGGTCCACACTACGTGGTGGTAACAATATGGTGACGTGTGTGAGAAGGTATGTAGGATATATAAAGGTCCACACTACATGGTGTTGACAAGATGGTGACAAGATGGTGACGTGTCTGTGAAGGTATGTAGTATATAGACAGGACCACACTACCTGGTGGTGACAAGATGGTGACAAGATGGTGACGTGTGTGTGAAGGTGTGTAGTATGTAGACAGGTCCACACTACGTGGTGGTAACTAGATGGTGACGTGTGTGAGAAGGTATGTAGTATATATACAGGTTCACATGACCTGGTGGTGACAAGATGGTGACAAAAAGGAGAAGTGTGTGTGAAGGTATGTAGTTATTATACAGGTTCACACTATCTAATGGTGACGTGTGTGTGAAGGTGTGTAGTATGTAGACGGGTCCATATTACCTGGTGGTAATAAGATGGTGACAAGATCGTGACGTGTGTGATAAAACAATCGATCACATGCACCTGGACGCGATAGAACATCACACGTACCTGGAGGTGATACAACAATCACACGTACCTGGAGGTGATACAACAATCACACGTACCTGGAGGTGATCCAACAATCAGACGTACCTGGAGGTGATACAACAGTCACACGTACCTAGAGGAGATACAACAATCACACATACATGGAGGTGATACAACAATCACACGTACCTGGAGGCGATACAACAATCACACGTACCTGGAGGTGATACAACAATCACACGTACCTGGAGGTGATACAACAATCAGACGTACCTGGAGGTGATACAACAGTCACACGTACCTAGAGGAGATACAACAATCACACATACATGGAGGTGATACAACAATCACACGTACCTGGAGGCGATACAACAATCAGACATACATGGAGGTGATACAACAATCGCATATACATGGAGGTGATACAACAATCGCAAGTACCTAGAGCTGATATATCAATCAGACGTACCTGGAGGTGATACAACAATCACACATACCAGGAGGTGATACAACAATCACACATACCTGGAGGTGATACAACAATCACACATACCTGGAGGTGATACAACAATCACACATACATGGAGGTGATACAACAATCACACATACCTGGAGCTGATACAACAATCACACATACCTGGAGCTGATACAAAAATCACACGAACCTGGAGGTGATACAACAGTCACACGTACCTAGAGGAGATACAACAATCACACATACATGGAGGTGATACAACAATCACACGTACCTGGAGGCGATACAACAATCAGACATACATGGAGGTGATACAACAATCGCATATACATGGAGGTGATACAACAATCGCAAGTACCTAGAGCTGATATATCAATCAGACGTACCTGGAGGTGATACAACAATCACACATACCAGGAGGTGATACAACAATCACACATACCTCGAGGTGATACAACAATCACACATACATGGAGGTGATACAACAATCACACATACCTGGAGGTGATACAACAGTCACACATACCTGGAGCTGATACAAAAATCACACGAACCTGGAGGTGATACAACAATCACACGGACCTGGAGGTGATACAACAATCAGACATACCTGGAGGTGATACAACAATCACACATACCTGGAGGTGAGGAGGTGATACAACAATCACACATACCTGGAGGTGATACAACAATCACACATACATGGAGGTGATACAACAATCACACGTACCTGGAGGTGATACAACAATCACACGTACCTGGAGGTGATACAACAATCACACATACCTGGAGGTGATACAACAATCACACATACATGGAGGTGATACAACAATCACACGTACCTGGAGCTGATACAACAATCACACGTACCTGGAGGTGATACAACAATCACACATACCTGGAGGTGATACAACTATCACACGTACCTGGAGCTGATACAACAATCACATGTATCTGTAGGTGATACAACAATCTGACGTACCTGGAGGTGATACAACAATCGCACATACATGGAGGTGATACAAAAATCACACATACCTGGAGCTGATACAACAATCAGACGTACCTGGAGGTGATACAACAATCGCACATACATGGAAGTAATACTACAATCACACATACCTGGAGCTGATACAACAATCAGACGTACCAGGAGGTGATACAACAATCACACATACATCGAAGTAATACTACAATCACACGTATCTGGAGGTGATACAACAACCACACATACATGGAGGTGATACAACAATCGCAAGTACCTGGAGGTGATACAACAATCAGACGTACATGGAGGTGATACAACAATCACATGTATCTGTAGGTGATACAACAATCACACATACCAGGAGGTGATACAACAATCGCAAGTACCAGGAGGTGATACAACAATCACACGTACCTGGAGGTGATACAGCAATTGCAAGTACCTGGAGCTGATACAACAATCACACGTACCTGGAGGTGATACATCAATCACACATACCAGGAGGTGATACAACAATTGCAAGTACCAGGAGGTGATACAACAATCAGACGTACCTGGAGGTGATACAACAATCACACATACATGGAGGTGATACAACAATCACACGTACCTGGAGCTGATACAACAATCAGACGTACCTGGAGGTGATACAACAATCAGACGTACCTGGAGGAGATACAACAATGACACGTACCTGGAGGTGATACAACAATCACACATACCTGGAGGTGATACAACAATCACACATACCTGGAGTGATACAACAATCACACGTACCTGGAGGTGATACAACAATCACACGTACCTGGAGGTGATACAACAATCACACGTACCTGGAGGTGATACAACAATCACACATACATGGAGGTGATACAACAATCACACATACCTGGAGGTGATACAACAATCACACGACATACATGGAGGTGATACAACAATCACACACGTACTGGAGGTGATACAACAATCACACGTACATGGAGGTGATACAACAATCGCAAGTACCTGGAGGTGATACAACAATCAGACGTACCATGGAGGTGATACAACAATCACACGTACCTGGAGGTGATACAACAATCACACATACATGGAAGTGATACAACAATCACACGTATCTGGAGGTGATACAACAATCACACATACCTGGAGGTGATACAACAATCACAAGTACCAGGAGGTGATACAACAATCACACGTACCTGGAGGTGATACAACAATCACAAGTACCTGGAGGTGATACAACAATCACTGCGTACCTGGAGGTGATACAACAATCACACATACCAGGAGGTGATACAACAATCACACAGTACCAGGAGGTGATACAACAATCAGACGTACCTGGAGGTGATACAACAATCACACATACATGGAGGTGATACAACAATCATACACGTGATACCTGGAGGCTGATACAACAATCACACGTACCTGGAGGTGATACAACAATCACACATACATGGAAGTAATACTACAATCACACGTATCTGGAGGTGATACAACAATTACACGTACATGGAGGTTGTACAACAATCACACGTACCTGGAGGTGATACAACAATCACACATACATGGAGGTGATACAACAATCGCAAATACCTAGAGCTGATACAACAATCAGACGAACCTGGAGGTGATACAACAACCACACGTACCTGGAGGTGATACAACAATCACACATACATGGAGGTGATACAACAATCGCAAGTACCTGGAGCTGATACAACAATCAGACGTACCAGGAGGTGATACAACAATCACACATACCTGGAGGTGATACAACAATCACACATAGCTGATACAACAAGTACACGTACCTGGAGGCAATACAATCAGTGACGTACTTGGAGGTGATACAACAATCACACATACATGGAGGTGATACAACAATCGCAAGTACCTGGAGCTGATACAACAATCAGACGTACCATGAGGTGATACAACAACCACACATACCAGGAGGTGATACAACAATCACACATACATGGAAGTAATACTACAATCACACGTATCTGGAGGTGATACAACAATCACACATACATGGAGGTGATACAACAATCGCAAGTACCTGGAGCTGATACAACAATCAGACGTACCTGGAGGTGATACAACAATCACACATACCAGGAGGTGATACAACAATCACACATACATGGAAGTAATACTACAATCACACGTATCTGGAGGTGATACAACAATCACACGTACCTGGAGCTGATACAACAATCACACGTACCTGGAGGTGATACAACAATCACACATACCTGGAGGTGATACAACAACGACACATACCAGGAGGTGATACAACAATCACACGTACCTGGAGGTGATACAACAATCACACATACCTGGAGGTGATACAGCAATCACACGTACCTGGAGGTGATACAACAATCACACGTACCTGGAGGTGATACAACAATCACACATACCTGGAGGTGATACAACAATCACACGTACCTGGAGATGGTACAACAATGACATGTACCTGAACGTGGTACAACAATCACACATACGTGGAGGTGATACAACAATCACACGTACCTGGAGGTGATACAACAATCACACGTACCTGGAGGTGATACAACAATCACAAGTACCTGGAGCTGATACAACAATCAGACGTACCATGAGGTGATACGACAACCACACATACCAGGAGGTGATACAACAATCACACATACATGGAAGTAATACTACAATAACACGTATCTGGAGGTGATACAACAATCACACATACATGGAGGTGATACAACAATCGCAAGTACCTGGAGCTGATACAACAATCAGACGTACCATGAGGTGATACGACAACCACACATACCAGGAGGTGATACAACAATCACACATACATGGAAGTAATACTACAATCACACGTATCTTAAGGTGATACAACAATCACACATACATGGATGTGATACAACAATCGCAAGTACCTGGAGCTGATACAACAATCAGACGTACCATGAGGTGATACGACAGTCACACATACCAGGAGGTGATACAACAATCACACATACATGGAAGTAATACTACAATAACACGTATCTGGAGGTGATACAACAATCACACATACCTGGAGCTGATACAACAATCACACGTACCTGGAGCTGATACAACAATCACACGTACCTGGACGTGGTACAACAACGACACATACCAGGAGGTGATACAGCAATCACACGTACCTGGAGATGATACAACAATCACACATACCTGGAGGTGATACAGCAAGCACACGTACCTGGAGGTGATACAACAATCACACGTACCTGGAGATGATACAACAATCACACATACCTGGAGGTTGTACAACAATCAGACGTACCTGGAGATGGTACAACAATGACACGTACCTGAACGTGGTACAACAATCACACATACGTGGAGGTGGTACAACAATCACACGTACCTCGAGATGATACAACAATCACACGTGCCTGGAAATGATACAACAATCACAAGTACCTGCAGATGATACAACAATCAGACGTACCTGGAGATGATACAACAATCACACGTACCTGGAGGTGATACAACAATCACACGTACCTGTACACGGGTTGAGGGTGCAGGTTGCATTTCTCTGTTCACTCGAGTCTCCCGTGCACGGCTGGGTCACACACTCTCGGGTTCTGTTCTCTACACCAAAGACTTGCCCTCCGCACGTGGCTGAACAGTACCGTCTCCAGAAGGACCATTCTCCCCATCCTGACATAAGAAGATATTAATCTGCACACCATGAAGCTTAAAGGGTTTATTAGATTACTACACTAATGAGCTGAAGGTATATGTTTATTATCCCAACGATGAACCACGGTGATGTATTTACATTTACTAACTGCATAATGAACCACGAACGTGTATTTATTACCTAAACAATGGAACAAATGTGTCAATATTATCTGGTGGTGACAAGATGGTGACGTGAGTTTGAAGGTATGTAGTATATAGACAGGTACATATTACCTGGTGGTAACAGGATGGTGACGTGTGTGTGAAGGTATGTAGTATATATACAGGTCCACATTACCTGGTGGTAACAAGATGATGACAAGATGTCGACGTGTGTGTGAAGGCATGTAGTATGTATACAGGTCCAAACTACCTGGTGGTGACGTGTGTGTGAAGGTGTGTAGTATATAGACGGGTCCATATTACCTGGTGGTGACAAGATGATGACGTGTGTGAAGGTATGTAGTATATGGAGAGGTACATATTACCTGGCGGTAAGAGGATGGTGACGTGTGTGTGTGAAGGTGTGTAGTATATATACAGGTCCACACTACCTGGTGGTAACAAGATGGTGACAAGATGGTTACAAGATGGTGACAAGATGGTGACGTGTGTGTGAAGGTGTGTAGTATATATACAGGTCCACACTACTTGGTGGTAATAAGATGTTGACAAGATGGTGACGTGTGTGATAAAACAATCGATCACACGTACCTGGAAATGATACAACAATCACACGTAGCTGGAGATGATACAACAATCACACGTACCTGGAGATGATACAACAATCACACATACCTGGAGTCGATACAACAATCACACGTACCTGGAGGTGATACAACATTCACACGTACCTGGAGATGATACAACAATCACACGTACCTGGAGATGATACAACAATCACACGTACCTGTACACGGGTTGAGGGTGCAGGTTGCATTTCTCTGTTCACTCGAGTCTCCCGTGCACGGCTGGGTCACACACTCTCGGGTTCTGTTCTCTACACCAAAGACTTGCCCTCCGCACGTGGCTGAACAGTACCGTCTCCAGAAGGACCATTCTCCCCATCCTGACATAAGAAGATATTAATCTGCACACCATGAAGCTTAAAGGGTTTATTAGATTACTACACTAATGAGCTGAAGGTATATGTTTATTATCCCAACGATGAACCACGGTGATGTATTTACATTTACTAACTGCATAATGAACCACGAACGTGTATTTATTACCTAAACAATGAAACAAATGTGTCAATATTACCTGGTGATGACAAGATGGTGACGTGTGTGTGAAGGCATGTAGTATATATTCAGGTCCAAACTACCTGGTGGTGACGTGTGTGTGAAGGTGTGTAGTATATAGACGGGTCCATATTACCTGGTGGTGACAAGATGATGACGTGTGTGTGAAGGTATGTAGTATATAGACAGGTACATATTACCTGGCGGTAAGAGGATGGTGACGTGTGTGTGAAGGTGTTTAGTATATATACAGGTCCACACTACCTGGTGGTAACAAGATGGTGACAAGATGGTGACGAGATGGTGACGTGTGTGTGAAGGTGTGTAGTATATATACAGGTCCACACTACCTGGTGGTAATAAGATGGTGACAAGATGGTGACGTGTGTGATAAAACAATCGATCACACGTACCTGGAGCTGATACAAAAATCACACGAACCTGGAGGTGATACAACAATCACACATACCTGGAGCTGATACAACAATCACACATACCTGGAGGTGATACAACAGCCACACATACCTGGAGCTGATACAAAAATCACACGAACCTGGAGGTGATACAACAATCACACATACCTGGAGGTGATACAACAATCACACGTACCTGGAGGTGATACAACAACCACACGTACCTGGAGGTGATACAACAATCACACGTACCTGGAGATGATACAACAATCACACGTACCTGGAGGTGATACAACAATCACACGTACCTGTACACGGGTTGAGGGTGCAGGTTGCATTTCTCTGTTCACTCGAGTCTCCCGTGCACGGCTGGGTCACACACTCTCGGGTTCTGTTCTCTACACCAAAGACTTGCCCTCCGCACGTGGCTGAACAGTACCGTCTCCAGAAGGACCATTCTCCCCATCCTGACATAAGAAGATATTAATCTGCACACCATGAAGCTTAAAGGGTTGATTAGATTACTACACTAATGAGCTGAAGGTATATGTTTATTATCCCAACAATGAACCACGGTGATGTATTTACATTTATAAACTGCATAATGAACCACGAACGTGTATTTATTACCTAAACAATGAAACAAATGTGTCAATATTACCTGGTGGTGACAAGATGGTGACGTGTGTGCGAAGGTATGTAGTATATAGACAGGTACATATTACCTGGTGGTAACAGGATGGTGACGTGTGTGTGAAGGTATGTAGTATATATACAGATCCACATTACCCGGTGGTAACAAGATGGTGACAAGATGGTGACGTGTGTGTGAAGGTATGTGGTATATATTCAGGTCCAAACTACCTGGTGGTGACGTGTGTGTGTGAAGGTGTGTAGTATATAGACGGGTCCATATTACCTGGTGGTGACAAGATGGTGACGTGTGTGTGAAGGTATGTAGTATATAAACTGGTCCATATTACCTGGTGATAACAAGATGGTGACGTGTGTGTGTAGTATATACTTCGGTCTATATTACCTCGTGGTGACAAGATGGTGACAAGATGGTGACGTGTGTGTGTAGTATATACTTAGGTCTATATTACCTCGTGGTGACAAGATGGTGACCAGATGGTGACGTGTGTGTGAAGTATATACTTAGGTCTATATTACCTCGTGGTGACAAGATGGTGACGTGTGTGTGAAGTATATACTTAGGTCTATATTACCTCATGGTGACAAGACGGTATCAAGATGGTGACGTGTGTGTGTAGTATATACTTAGGTCTATATTACCTCGTGGTGACAAGATGGTGACAATTAAGTTGGTGACGTGTGTGTGAAGTATATACTTAGGTCTATATTACCTTGTGGTGACAAGATGGTGACAAGATGGTTACGTGTGTGTGATGTATATACTTAGGTCTATATTACCTTGTTGTGACAAGAATGTAATTTTCTATACTTATCCTGACTCATGCTCTTTTGCTTGTCTCCTTCTTCTTGCGAATGATAGTGGAACACTTGAATCCCCTTTTGAAGCTCCCTTCAAAAAAGCGGACGGAAAATCACCCACCCCACGAGTAGCCCCCCTTTGCCCTTTGGCGCCCTTATTGGGCACCTGACCAGCCATGCTTGTCACTCCTCCGTATATGAGCCCGACACCCAGATTACAGGGAAATCCAGAGTGTCCAGAGGGGAGGTTGAGAGGGCTTACCTCATGAGTCAGGATAAGTATAAAATATCAATTTTAGCCAGAAAATTACATATTTTTCCTTAGCCTGACTCATGCTCTTTTGCTTGTAGAATCCGACGGAACCGGTGGTGGGTCAGGCCACTTCTGTATTCATCGGTTGTAGATTTACGTCCTGCATACCCCCGTGGGAACTTATGGTGGCACTTGTGCTGATCCTATTTTCTTCCAGCTGCCTCTGATGAGTCTGGGGGGACAACTACTTGTCAGATTTCTCTGGAACTGTTCTCCAGATATTATGTGTGGATTTATGCAACACCATGTCTTGATGCTCGCATCAAGTGGAGAAGCAACCCTTCTTCATGTACGAGTAACTCCTTTACAAGTACAGGGTCTATCACTCATGCTGGTCTGTCCTAAACGTGCACATGGACTCTAAAGCTCAAGCTCTCCAGAGCGTTGGCATTTACAAGTCACGTGATAAAAGGATGAGATCCATTTCAGCGCCTTTCTGGAACCATCAATTGTTATGCTACAACAAAAGGTCCAAACTGGTGAATGCCGGAGACGTCCTCGGTAGCAATGTCTCTGAGGTAGTGGTTGGCAAACAACGTCTCCGACTTCCAAAAGTAGCCCCCCATTATCATCGAGATGGAGCAGTTCCATTCAGAGCGAGTGTCGATGCCAGCGCTCTGACTTCATGAGGATTGGAGGCTCGTGGAGGCTCAAGTCCTGCTGCTTTGTAGGCCCTTCGGATGACGGCTCTAATCCAGATCGATATCGTCGTACGTGAGACCTCTGTAGGCGTCTCCGTAGATAGAGGGATGAAAAGGTGCTTGAACTTTCGTCTCCTCGTCTTAGACCTTGGTAGGTAGACTTCCATTGCTCTGACTGGGCATAAGGATAGATCCTGTGGCCGAAGGACTGTAAAGAGTGCTGGGATGTGGAACTGTCTGTCTGGTTGACCGGGCCAGTTGTTATGAAGTCCCATCTCAGGCCCAGATGTACGATGTGACGATGTGCATCAAATCGTGTTCGTTCAAAGTCCAGAGCATATTTTCCTCTGCGAGTCATTTCTTGCGCTGACGTGAGAAGACCGAGTAGGCTCTGCCAACTTCGTAGTGGTAACGGAGAGAGTAGTGCTTGAGATACCATGGCTTGTATCTAGACCCAACGATCCTCTGAGACGACCATGCGATTCTGTGGTGAGGTGAAACATCTTCCCAGAAATCTGCTCATATGCTACGTTGTAGGTAAGTAGACATTGGAACCCTTGCCATGTGCGTAATGGAAGTGGAGCAATGTCCGGTTCTGGAATCATGACTTGAAGTTTATTTCTTCAATCTTCCGATAATATGTCAAGAAGACTTGTCCCCAGAATCCCAACAAAGTGCAGTGATGATGCATAATTCGTCGTCTCTTTAGTACTGGAACTGCCATCGCTGTGAAGTCTCTGTATAGTAGACTGGCTGCCGCGAGCAGAAATCGTCAAACGCATGTTGCTGCAAATCGCCGGATAAACAATCTTCAATCTGCTGACAGGGAAGGTCCTTTTGACCCGTGAAGACAGTCGAATCACGCTGTACCCTGCTAACTGGACTGTAAATCGAGCCTTCCTCCCATGTTGAAAAGTTGTTTACAACTGTAGACAACTTCCTGGTACGTGAGCTATTCCTGACTTCTGCGCAGGGCGTTGTCTCTCATGGACCAATCAAATTGCAGCATTTGATTCATCTCAGATTCCCGCGATGTGACGTCACCGGTGTTGCAGGAAAAAGATCCTTGTAAAATCTTGTGCAGTCGTTGATTTCTTCATCAACACTCGGCCTTGTCCGTAATCTCCCGGAGTTACATGAGTGAACACGTGTATAGCAGGCTGAGTGGAAAACGCGCGAAGGATTTCGCCGCATAATACTGATGTAAGTAGACTGTCCCCCTGGCTGTTGTGATTGTTTCCTTCTTCACTGAAGATAATGTAATCGTCATTTTATACAGATGATCAGCGGAAGTTCCATACTTGCTTAACGCTTCTTTACTTCTAGACTGTAGTCATCGGTCTCAATGAAGCGCCATAAAATAACCAATTATGTTGAATACACAAAGGTTCTTGTAGAGTTGATTCTTCGCTACGATGACCGTGAAAAACGATGTCACGCTGAGGACTGCGACAATGCCAATGCTAGGCCAATGATAACTGTCAAGCTGTCCCCTTCCTCACAAGAGTCAAGCCCGCTGATGTTGAATCTGTCTAGCCTGAAACAAGTACGTCTAGTATAGTTGTGTAAGTTCTGCAATGGGAGTCGTTGATGATCTTGTAATTCTCATCAATCTCTGGAGCTTTCATAAAGGGTTCCATATGAAGTAGTGGGAATTTCCTGGCGTTGAACGTCGGGACATGTTGACTCTGGAACTTCGTAGCCTTACCAAGGCTGCGCTGAGATTCTCCGGTACTTGAGCTATCAGATCGATGGGTGAAAGGTGAACATATGAAATAATCGTTAGATATCTTGTACGTGAGTGCTTCTGATCCACGACGACGTGAGTCCCTGCCTGCCTGAAGACCTGCCTGAAGACCTGCCTGAAGACCTGCGCGCAGGTGAACGGTTGGAATATGAATCTTCCCTTGAATCTTGAGACGTATCCCTCTGCCTTCGTGAAGGTGTGGATTCTCTTCTCCGTGGTGAGGAGTGCAGGCTCACGACGAAGATCCGCGTCTGGGGATGAAAATGATCCATGTGACCGACTTCTGCGATACTCCAAAGAACGTCTAGTCCTGCTCCTGCGTGAAGGCTCCTTGGAAGGTCCTTCCGGCACGTCTAGGGCTGCATCATCGTTGTCGAGGTTGCAGTCAAGTGTGAACCTTCACGCAGGCTTCCTCCTTCAAGCAGGCTTCCATCTTTGTTGGAATGTGAAGTGAAGACTGTTGATCCTTCGTGCAGGCTCGTCATCGTAGATGAGGTCTTCGTAGCAGCCTTCACGCAGACTTGCTCCTTCACGCAGGCTTCCATCTTCGTTGGGATGCGATGTGAAGACTGCTTGTCCTTCGTGCAGGCTCGTCGTAGATGGGGCCTTCCCCCAAGGCATTCTCATGTGCGAACCGTCGTTCCATCAGCTCCAACATCTGCTGAGTAAACTGCTGCACGAAGATACCCGGGTTGAAGTTCTGCGACGGCGGCTGCTGCTGCAGATGACGACGCATCTGAGAGTGATGAGGCTTCTTCCAAGGACCGCTGCACTTGTGAAGAACTGCCGTCTCTGGTACCTGATATCTGCGTTAATAGATCATCTGACTGCGCTGAGATGGCTGCTGACGTCACAGTAGAAGAGGATCTCGTCTTCTTCTTAACTGCTACTTCGTCATACACGTCTACTTCGTCTGGAGGGATGATCTTTGCAGAGAAGGACCTCGTCTTCGGCGCTGCCCCATGGGAAGACTTCGCCGAAGTCTCATCTGCAGACGACTTCTTTTTCTGTGAAGACGATGCCCTGGTCTTCTTAGACTGCGACGAGGCTACTTCCGACGTCGACGACCTCTTCCTGGAGCCGGAGCTCCCCTCTGCCACAGCAACATGCTCCGTAGTAGCAACCGGCAATTCACTGGAATGGTGAATCTCAGCAGCCAGCAATAAACGGTTATCAGCGCATTCACTCGGTTAGACATGACTTGTAAATGCCGTCTAGACCTGTCCTTAGCACGTCTAAGAATGGAATATAAATAATTATTCAATTCAATTTCAGATAAATGCTGACAAAGTTGGCAGCGAAAGCT